CACATGCCTATTTTTACGACCCTTAAAAATTCGTATTACCAGTCTATAAGTATCATGTGGTAGTGGTATATACAGTTTTTTTTTGGGGTTGGATCTACGCAAAATGGGGATTAGAACATTGGTGTTTGGTAATGTAAAATCAGATGTGCATTAAAGGGTTAGATTTTGCGGCTGTGTAAATAGGATCAAGTGTGTTTGAACAATAGGATTCGCTAACGGATCTGCTACGTTTTCATCTTCTATTTAACTAAAAGCCATTGTATTTGATTTTGGATCACATTGAATGCAAGCTGTTTTTTTCATTTGGGATGGTTTGATGTTTTTGGTGAGAGTTAAGAAGATTCAAAGCGTCAAAATGCTTATATAGAGAAGCAGCAAAGAAACCAGCTTTGATGAAAAAACTGTGAAAGACTGCTTTGTTTGTTCGAGAAAGAAGGTTAATGGCGGGATTGGAGATCGCGGGTGTTGAAGTACAAGTTGCCTAGTTGATCAGGTGCAGAGACGCGGAGAGGAGTGAAGCCTTCGTATTCACCACTGGTTTTAGCAGAGCAAATATCTGTCATATACCTCAATAGCTCATGATTCTGTACAAATGGTTGCTTCGTGTATTCCTCCCATGGCATCCACTGCATCAAGTGTTTCCCAGTTTCAGAATCACAAGAGATTACAAGTGTTTTGGTGATTGAGACTGGAGAGTCACTGAAGGGGAGAGAATTGTTACCTGAGCTGCCTCTATCTCTGATTCCTGTGCATTGATCTCCAAAGAAAGAGGCTTTAACATGCACACAAAGAACAAGTCTGACTTCTCAAAGAAAGCTTTGTGGGTTTGTCTGTCAGAATTTAAAACATATAAGAGTCAGTTATAATGCAATATAAGGATATGATGCGGTTAGAGTTGGGGGTTGTTGTAACCTGAAAGCCAATATTTGGACGAATTCTGTATCCACCTAAAAAACATATGATCCAGAGAAGAGTGGGATTAGCTCTTTGGCCTCTCGTAAACTATAAAGAAGACGGTGAGAAGGTAAATGCAAGAAGAAGGCTTACTCCGGTCTCTTCTTTCACCTCTCTGACCGAGCCATCAAAGATGTCTTCACCCTGACTCAACAACAACAATAAAGAAATTGCATCAAGAGAGGTGAACCAATCCATGTAAATGGTGTTTAAAAAGAAGCAGCACCTCATTCACTACTCCGGTGGGGAACTTCCAGATACCTTGGCCTTGAAATCTTCCTGTCTTTTCTTGAACCACCAGAATCTTTGGATCCAAATACAGAAACAGAGATGTGATCATTCTTTGGGAATGTTCCAAAAAGATAAAACTGAAAATCTCTCATCTCATCTAAAGTCACCACACACCTCTTTGTTGTGGTTAATGACAAATGCACCTATGCCAACACGGTGAGATGCATTGGCAGGAAGCGTATGGTCTCCTTTTGGAATCCAATACACAAGCATCAAGTAGTTTTTCTCAGCATGATGGAACCAGAATCCCTCCTACACATATATAAATAACACAACCAGTTTGCGATAAGAAGCATCTCCAAACAAAGGGGCTTGAAGAAATCAGGTATCAACAGGTAACAACAACCTTAACAGCAGTTTCAGCAAGACCGATAAGATGTATCGGCAATTTGATCCACACTCCCTTCTTTCCCTGCGCACACAAAACCGATTTAGATCGGCTCAGAGATCTTTAAAAACCTCTTCTCTAGTAAAGATCAATGGTTGATGCAATTAAAAACATGAATTCACTTTCTTTGCACCAAAGTAAACACAAAAGCCTCTCTCTGGCCCGCATTAGAATACAATAATGTTCGAGGAAGATGGTGACATGACATTCACACTTTGTTCTCCCCAAACTTTTCCAATGATTCGATGCACAACAATTTCGTACATTTCTATCAATTTTCTTGGAGTTGAATGATAAAAAATTTATCATTTTGATTATCTCTACCAGATCAATCATCAATCTAACAGCATAAAGAAAGAAAGAAAGAACACCTGAAGAGTCCAGTTAGAGAGAGAGGTTCGTAAAAGTGTCGAGAAGAGAGAAGGATCCATGGGATGGTTCATCTCCGTCATGACACCACCGTACTTATCTTCAACAGCTTTAAACATTGTAACGGCGTTTGCTTCCTCGCCGGCGATCGGATTTGTGGAGGAAGAAGCGGACATGGATCTGTTCACCGTCGTGGAGCAACTGTGAAACGCAAGAGAGAACCCATCAGCCGGAAAACGCAGAAATTGAGGAAAACGCAGACGCCCATTATTATTAGTCGCCGGTTTCATCAACAACAATTTGACAAAACCATAGCTTTTCGCCAAACGGCAACTCATAATTTGTTTTTACTCAGCCCGGAAAAATAAATAAAAAACACAACTTTGAACTCAAATTTACACAAAATCGTAATTTTCTTATATCATTTATTACTCGATGGATCACTAATTTGAAGGAGGATTGAGCGTAGAAAAACAAAACTTGTTTTCCCTTTTTGCACTTACCTTTACTCCCCAAAGTATGAAATAATTAAGAAAAAGCCAAACTTTTCCGACTCAAATCTATTTTTACACTATTTGACAAAGATGAAAAAAATACTATAATCTTTAACTTCAATACATGAAAATTCTCAAACCTTTTTGGTTAGGATTAAGGTCAAAAGCTTTAAGTTTCTGGATTGTATGACAGTGTGACAGGCTTAATAGGAAACAGAGGATTTTCTTCTAAATTTCTCAGATAATGACATATCTTCGATCAATCTTCTTAACATGATTATTCTCTTGATTTCTACCAAGTGTGTGAATAAAAGAAAACTATGTCGGTGTCTCCTCGGACTTCGCTGAGCCACAAGCCCAAAAGTGTTTTACCTTTACACGAAACTAGATACAAAATTACTAAACATATCCGGGTCGGGTCGGGTAGTGGAACGGGTAAGATACGACTGAAGTGGAGGATAAAACGGAGGTTACGTTGCTCGTTTGAGGGTAAAAAGGTAAATATGCCATCACAGAGACGAATCAAAGTTTTTTTTTTTACCCTTTGAACTGCTTTTACTTTGGGCGGAGTCTCATTTCACGCCGTCTTTTTTTGTTTTTTTTACCTTCTTTATGGAACTTCTCGCCGGCGCCAGTCGGAAACGAGCCGGAGATGACTTCGCCGGAGATGTTAACCCATTCGATGGTTCCGATGGTGGTTGCGAGTGGATGTACGGTAGCCGTCAATCTGGTTCCTTGAGACATCAAGGAAACGACGACGCTTTGGCCACTCTCGCAGACTTGGCTCCGCCTCCTCAGAAACTGAAACCCATCAGGTCCGTCGTTAAGCCTCCGTCGTCTGAGGATCGACATCCTCTGGATATTCTTGCCGGAACCCTAGAGAGGTTTCCGGAGATAGGGTTTGGCTGCTTTGAGGCCCCGTTGGGAACGAAGATTGCTGACGTGGAGGAAGGCGGTCAATTGACTCGTGGGTTTACAAAGGAAGACTCTCTTGGTGACGAAATGGAGTTTCAAAATCGTATCTCTGGGAATCGCACCTCTTGGGATGGTGTTTCTCTGAGGTAAAAGATTAGAGCTTTGTGTATTTCTGAATGTTTGGATCTGTTACTGTGAAAAGTTATTAATTTTTGTCTTTAAGGGTCTGAATTCTTTCACGTTTATTAGAAGCTTGTTTGGTAGACCTAAACACCATTCTCTCCCTACCTCTTGATGTGGCTACGGTACCATTTGATTACAGATTGGTTTACTTATGCTTCGTTGAACATATCTCAGCTAAAAAGCATTCAACTTCGCATAACAACCTTTTACAATGATGGTTTACTCGGTTCTTAGTGTTGTTTATGGCACTTGTAAGCAGTATTAGTCTGGAGTTTCTAGGGGACAGTATGTTCAAAAGGTGCGAGTAGATCGGTTTTCGTTTTTAGATGATGTAACCGTGTTGGAGTTTTGCCAATTCATGTACTGATGATATGAACATTTCTTGTTTTTGCAGCTCTTCTGTTGATAGCGATAGCGATAGCGATTCTTCACCAGGCGCTCGCAAGAAGGCTGTAACGGGTAAAAGAAAGCGGGAAACAAGGGACAAGCTGGAGCATTTCTTGGGGAAGCTGGTGGGGAGTATGATGAAGAGGCAAGAGAAGATGCATAACCAGTTGATTAAGGTGATGGAGAAGATGGAGCACGAAAGAGTCGGTCGGGAGGAAGCTTGGAGGCAACAGGAGATGGAGAGGATGAGACAGAACGAAGAGGCACGGAAGGAAGAGATGTCGCGCAGCTTGTCTCTCATCTCTTTCATCAAAACTGTTATTGGTGACGAGATCGAAATCGAGATCCCTAAACCCCTGTCTGATCCCCTCCCTCAACCACATCAGCATCTTCCCGAAAAATTTGAAGAGAGGAACTTTGAATCGGCTGAGACACAACGAGACAGAAAGCTTGTGAATTCAAGCGGCAAAAGGTGGCCGCAGGAGGAAGTGCAGGCGTTGATAACTAGCAGAAGCGAAGTGGAAGAGAAGACAGGGATTCACAAGTTTTCGATATGGGATGAGATCTCTGCGATGATGAAAGAAAAAGGGTACGATCGATCTGCGAAAAAGTGTAAGGAGAAATGGGAGAACATGAATAAGTACTACAGGAGAGTCATGGAAGGTAAGAAGAAACAGCCAGAGCGGAGCAAGACTCGTTCATACTTTCAGAAACTTAGTAACCTGTACAATACCAACTCAGGTAGTGCAGACCACGCCGCAGAGAAGGAAGAAGAATGAGTGTTCTAGTGAAAGATTCAGATTTTTAGGTTTTTGTCACGCAAAACGGAAACTTGTAGATCATTTCTTGAGTTTATTTAATTTGGTTTTGGTGTATTTTTGTATGGGTGTTGCGTTTTAGAAGGTTCGAAATAAAAAGACAAATGCGTTGGTGAGTAACGGCTATGGGAAACAAGAAGTATCCTCGGTCACATCGACTTTGGCTGACACGTTGTGGAGATTGGAAGGTCTGATATTACAAATGCCGACACTTGCCTAATTCTTGTTCTTATCCCAATTACTCTTTACTTGCTTTCTTTTCTTCAAATGCTTACTTTCGAGCGTTATTTTCTATATTCACAAACCCAACGAAGTGGTAAAATTTGAAGAGGAAGGAGATGGAACTTGGAGGCTTCCATGGCTACCACAAGCTCGAAACCACCACTCCTTCGGGTTCAGGTATAGCCATTATCCATCTCTGCCTTTGAAGAATGCTTCTCCATTCACTTGCATGCTTTGTTTTCTGCAATTTCTCAATTCTCATGTCTATAGCATGCATGCAGACGTCATAGGAGCGGTTTAAAATTTGGCAATGAAAACAAATTAACGAAACGATTATGCACTAAAGCTCTCAACTTTCTTATGTTTTTTGGGCTTTACCAGAGAATTTTTTTATGGCAGAGAGCAGCATGCGGCTCACAGAATTCAACCAGCTTAACAAAACCGCTAATGGCGGTGAAGAGGAGTGCACGGTGAGAGAGCAAGATAGGTTCATGCCTATTGCAAACGTGATACGGATCATGCGGAAGATCTTACCTGCTCACGCCAAGATCTCAGACGACTCCAAGGAGACGATCCAAGAATGCGTCTCTGAGTACATCAGCTTCATCACAGGTGAGGCCAATGAGCGGTGCCAGCGGGAACAGCGCAAGACCATTACTGCCGAGGATGTCCTGTGGGCCATGAGCAAGCTCGGTTTTGATGATTACATCGAACCCCTCACACTGTACCTCCATCGCTACAGAGAGTTGGAAGGCGAAAGAGGGGTTAGCTGCGGTGGTGCAGGATCCGTTAGCATGACCAGCAGCATGGTGATCAAGAGACCTAATGAGACCATAGCCGAGTATGGAGCCTACGGGCCTGTGCCAGGGATTCACATGGCGCAGTACCATTATCGTCATCAGAACGGGTTTGTCTTCAGTGGTAACGAACCAAACTCTAAAATGGGTGGTTCATCCTCAGCAACAAGTGGCGCAAGTATTGAACTATATCCAACTCAGCAACATAAGTACTGAGAACAATGGCTAATAATGTTAACAGCTGACACAGGATGGAGTCAAAACTGTTAGTAGGCGCAACTTCTAGTTTATGAATTCAAGTTTACGCAAGAAAAAAATGGTGCTTTGTTTCTGTTTATCTTTTCCTTGATCGAACCTGGTGTTTTCATCTGATCTGTCTTGTGGTAAAGTGTGTCAATAAAGCATGAGGTTTCCAAAAAGCATGCGTATGATCTTTGATACAGAAATTGACAGTGAGAATTGTAGTGCGTCTTGACTCAACACTTTAAAGGAACTTAACATTCCAGATTCAGGTTCTCGGCTACAGAAATCAGTGTTCAACGGAAATAGAAATAGGTCTCATATGCATAATCTTCATCTAGCTACCACTTTCTAGAGGAACTTCAATGCATACCTTTTTCCTCTCCAGAAGATCGTGTTTCTCTGCACTCTCGCCCGCATCACCCTCTTTATCTTGATGCTCTTCAGAAAGAGGTTGCAATTTCGAACAATCTACAGGATCAACTCCAGTTCTTTTCCTCTGAGGAATCACAGTGAAGAAAGATGTTTTCCAGTCCCTCGTCTCCAGAAACTTGACAAGTATCTCCAACACTTGGTTCACAGTGAGAACCTAAAACAATAAAATATAAATCTCACAATAGGGTCTAGCTTAAGAAACTATAGGCAATACATTTGAAGACATTTGAAGCTCAATGTGTTGAAAAGAGAGGACTTTTGGGCACATACCTGAGAACTGGACATTTTCATATACTCTCCTATGGGAAGTTTAGCTGTTTTAATGCCTTGTTCTTGCGCCTTGGTCATGGTAATCCCTTTGAACCGGTTTCGATCAACTAAGCCACCGATTATATAGATGTTCTTGGGGTCAAGGTCATCCAAAACAGTTTCGGAGTCCGCCGTAAGATACACCAAATTCTCTTTCCGATCAGCCATGGCCTCAATGTAACACCTAGTTTCCTTCTCTATGAACCATTTCTCAAAACCTGGAAGCTTCTCAAGGTGAGTATTCATCTGCTCCTTGATTCCTGTCAGCCATAGATGACAAGGGGAAGTACTTCTCCCATTCACCGCATAGCAATACATTATCTGAATATCAAATCAACAAACAACCTTCACCGATCAATAATCATGTACAAGGATCATAAAGTTTGAAACTTTGGATTGAAAGACAGAGATTTGACCTGCTGAATCAAGCTGGAGATCTCGGACTCAGACATGAGATGTGCAAAATCAACATCTACGACGATGTTCTGACCGATTTCTTTAGCTAGAGTGAGCCGTTCCATCT